GAACAGACTGGGACCAGACTGGGACCGAGACTGGGACCAGACTGGGACCGAGACCAGGACCAGATAAGGACTGAGTTCGGGACTGAGACCAGGACCAGATAAGGACTGAGTTCGGGACTGAGACCAGGACCAGACTAGGATCAAGACCGGGACCAGGCCAGGACCAGACCAGGACTGAGACTGGGAAGAAACCAGGACCGAAAACAGTTTAGTCCTGGTTTAGTCATGATTCAGTCCTGGTTCAGTCCGTATGTGGTGCAAAAGTCCGACATCGCCGTCACGAAAGTCACGGAAACGGGGCCGTTATCCGTTTTTTCCATTATTCATTTGAAACATAAAATCGAAAACTAAAAAAAACAAATCGTTATCCATTCTTTCATTTTGGACAAATAAAATGAAATGAGACAAATAATGAAGAAAATAGTTTTAAAATTTTTTTTTCGTTTTCTTATTTTTGGTTTTATATTGAAAAACAAACGAAGGAATGATGTTTTGTTTCATTCCCACATTTAACACACAAAACCACACAACTCCAGGTCTGTTTTTGAGGAGGAAACATCATTTTAACACGACTTAAATCTCACAAGAGTCAATTTTGCATCAATTTTTTTCTTTAAAGTATAATAAAACTCTGAATTACATTACGGTATATTGTGCAGCCCGAGTCAACACGATCCCTTACGCACTACAAGCCTTTCAAGTATTTATTTCTTCACGAAACATTTGAAACAATAAATAGAACAAACCCAGTGTACCAGAATAAAAACGAACAGGGCTCAGTGTCTTTTCTTTTTCTGCTGGATGAAACTTCAGACTGAGCCACATTTTCACATCAGAGTCTCGAAAAAATAAAAGGTCCACGGAGGGAGAGAAAGAGAGAGACAGAGGAAGAGAAAGGAGACAGAGATTAACTGCTAACACATAACATATTTAGATCACCATGTTGCCTTTTGTTGTTCTGAAAATGCTATATTCTCCCAAAACAATCCATCAACATGTTTTTTTTAAGTTTCCTTTTTGACATGCACCGCACATCGCATCGGGTTTGTGAAGTTGTTGTTTCGTTTCATGGATTTTTGGGACAGAATTGTACTGGTAACTGTAAGGAGGGTTCCAATAGAGCCTGGGAAGAGATCGCTAAATTCTTCAAACATGCATGAATGGTAAATAAAAACTTCTTAAGGCATGTTTTTGTTGAGAGATTAATGTTATAACTAGGGCACGACCGATATATCGATATGGACTCTTAGGCTGCGCTCAGACTGCAGCCTGAAGTGACCCAAATCCGATTTTTTGGCCCCTATGTGTCCTGTATCTGATCTTTTAATGACACAGATCTGATTTTTTCAAATGTGACGCAGGACACTTGGATATGTGGTCCTAAAACCGATACATATCCGATCTTCTGACATGCGACTTCAGTCTGAACGGCCAAGGCGCATTCATCCGACCTACGCGTTATCAACAAGCCACAAATGTACACAAATGTTGAGGAGAAAAATTCAGTTTGTCGACTGGACAAAAGTTAGTTTGGTTGAAGACGTTTCGCAGCTCATCCAAGCTGCTTCTTCAGTTCAGTTCAGCAGCTTGGATGAGCTGCGAAACGTCTTCAACCAACTTTTGTCCAGTCAAACAAACTGAATTTTTCTCCTCATGGATTCTACCTGGACGACTGAGGGATTCTTCATATACACAAACGTTCTTCTCGTCATACGAAAATTGTTAATGTCACTGAAGCACATCGCTATCCCACCACTCTTGGCTACGTCTCTGCATCCACACGTTCCTTTCAACAGACTGCCCCACAAAACGCCAAGGCTAAAAACCTCGTCCTTCTCCTTCTCAGTCTCCTTACAACAAGTAAGTTGTTCATGTTCTGGCTCCGGTACGAGAGGAACTTTAAAATCTCCAGGTGCTCAATGCTCGCGTCCATGTTTGGACAACTTCCGTAAACACAGAGCACGCTCACTGCGGTTGACGTCGTCGTGTCTCCAGTGCACATGCGGGACACTTTTGGGCCGTTTAATGTTCACACTGGAGTCACATACAAGTCGCATTTAATTGGAAATGTGAACGACCTCGCAAAAACATCGGATTTCACAAAAAAAATTCGAAATGCAGTTTGAACATATCGACTATTGCCCTAAATCTTACCGATCTGGGCTGATAGTCCACGTGGGCATGTTATAAACTCTCTAAATTATGTCCATTTAACCCAATTTACAGACAGATAAATGTCCTAATATGTGGCGCCGCATCGATATTTATCTGTGGAGTAATTTGTCTGTGTTTGTGATGTCGTACTGCCCCTGAACGCAAACCCAGAGTCACGTCACTCACATGAGGCGCTGCTTTAACCGCTCTTGTGCCTGATCCACGATACTGAAGATAAATATAAATAAAAGTGGACTTCAGCGTAGTTTGGGCCGGAAACAAAACTACTGCTTGTTTTTATCAAGGCGCGAGTGTGGAGAAGAGAGGACTGTTCCATAGGCCAGTGTTTCCCAAACTTTTTTCTGGGGACCCACATTTTAAAAGTCACAAATCTTTCCAAGTCAATAGACATTATTCGTAAATCAAAAAATAAATTTGTGGCCATTATTGAACATTAATAAGAATATTTTATTGTTGACTGATTGTTTTACTCAAGTTTTAAACAGTGGTGGTGCTGCCGGGAAGAACTGAGGAGTGGGGTGTGTGTGGACATTTATGTACAAAAAAAATGTACTAGGCGACCAAAAAAATTTCTTGCGACCCAGTCTTTGGGAGACAATGGCATAGACAGAGGACACACACAGCTGCTGTCAACATGCTGGATTATATTTTTTTTATGGACAATCATTTTGAGTCAGGATTAAATGAACACTTATTTTTGCTGCTGCATGTTTGCAAGTTTTCTCCCCGACAAAAACGTCGACGAAACGTTCTGCACCGACAAAGGCTCCTGCGCTCGCACCCAAAAGGCAGAGGAAGATGCAAACCATCGCACAAAAAGTTGGACTTCTGGACACGCTGAAGGAAGGCAGAAGTTACAGGGCTGTGGCAGAGTCCTGCACCGGGTCGAGTGCGGGGAAATAGTTGCGGAAACGGGCGGGTTTTAACTTCTGGAATTTTACGGGCGGGTATGTGATTACACACGGGCGGGTCAGGACTAAATCAGGACTAAACCAGGACTACACCAGGACTAAACCAGGTCTCAACCAGGTCTAAACCAGGTCTAAACCAGGAATACACCAGGTTTAAACCAGGTCTAAACCAGGAATACACCAGGTCTAAACCAGGTCTAAACCAGGTCTAAACCAGGTCTAAACCAGGACTACACCAGGACTACACCAGGACTAAACCAGGACTACACCAGGACTACACCAGGTCTCAACCAGGTCTCAACCAGGTCTAAACCAGGTCTAAACCAGGACTACACCAGGGCTAAACCAGGACTAAACCAGTCTAAACCAGGACTACACCAGGACTACACCAGGACTAAACCAGGTCTCAACCAGGTCTAAACCAGGACTACACCAGGACTACACCAGGTCTAAACCAGGTCTCAACCAGGTCTAAACCAGGTCTAAACCAAGACTACACCAGGACTACACCAGGTCTCAACCAGGTCTAAACCAGGTCTAAACCAGGACTACACCAGGACTACACCAGGTCTAAACCAGGACTAAACCAGGACTAAACCAGGACTAAACCAGGACTACACCAGGACTGCACCAGGACTACACCAGGACTACACCAGGACTACACCAGGACTAAACCAGGTCTCAACCAGGTCTAAACCAGGACTAAACCAGGACTAAACCAGGACTAAACCAGGACTACACCAGGACTACACCAGGACTAAACCAGGTCTCAAACCAGGTCTAAACCAGGTCTAAACCAGGACTACACCAGGACTACACCAGGACTACACCAGGACTACACCAGGACTAAACCAGGTCTCAACCAGGATTACACCAGGGCTACACCAGGTCTAAACCAGGTCTAAACCAGGATTACACCAGGCCTAAACCAGGTCTAAACCAGGTCTAAACCAGGTCCAAACCAGGACTAAACCAGGACTAAACCAGGTCTAAACCAGGACTACACCAGGACTACACCAGGACTACACCAGGACTAAACCAGGTCTAAACCAGGTCTAAACCAGGTCTAAACCAGGACTACACCAGGACTAAACCAGGACTAAACCAGGTCTAAACCAGGACTACACCAGGACTACACCAGGACTAAACCAGGTCTCAACCAGGTCTAAACCAGGTCTAAACCAGGACTACACCAGGTCTAAACCAGGTCTCAACCAGGTCTAAACCAAGACTACACCAGGACTACACCAGGTCTCAACCAGGTCTCAACCAGGTCTAAACCAGGTCTAAACCAGGACTACACCAGGGCTAAACCAGGACTAAACCAGGTCTAAACCAGGACTACACCAGGACTACACCAGGACTAAACCAGGTCTCAACCAGGTCTAAACCAGGTCTAAACCAGGACTACACCAGGTCTAAACCAGGTCTAAACCAGGTCTAAACCAGGTCTAAACCAGGACTACACCAGGACTACACCAGGTCTAAACCAGGTCTAAACCAGGTCTAAACCAGGACTACACCAGGACTACACCAGGACTACACCAGGTCTAAACCAGGACTAAACCAGGACTAAACCAGGACTACACCAGGACTACACCAGGACTACACCAGGACTACACCAGGACTAAACCAGGACTACACCAGGACTAAACCAGGTCTAAACCAGGTCTAAACCAGGACTAAACCAGGACTAAACCAGGACTACACCAGGACTACACCAGGACTAAACCAGGTCTAAACCAGGTCTAAACCAGGACTAAACCAGGACTAAACCAGGACAAGGACTACACCAGGACTAAACCAGGTCTCAAACCAGGTCTAAACCAGGTCTAAACCAGGACTACACCAGGACTACACCAGGACTAAACCAGGTCTAACCAGGATTACAACCAGGCCTAAACCAGGTCTAAACCAGGTCTAAACCAGGTCTAAACCAGGACTAAACCAGGACTAAACCAGGACTAATCTTAAGAGAGAGAACCCCTAGAACATTCGTTTACGGACAGTCGTTTTGAGTCAGGATTACAAGGACACTTATTTGTGAAGACTTGTGATCTGGGAGGAGCCTGTGTGAGCGGTGAGTGTCGCAAATGTGTCGGTTTTGAGGCAAATTTTGGTTCTTTCTCATTGGTTCGCTCTTAGCTGCTGTAGCTCCCACACATAAACAGCCTGTTTTCTCTTACACTGGCCTCGTGTAAAGTGAATATCGTGGCTGTACACACATTATACACATTACACACATTACACACATTACCTGCATTCATATGTAGATGAGCTGTGAATAGAGGTGTGAATGATCGGCATGCATTTACCGCTAAAGGCTGAAAGCAGTAGTATACTTAGCTTTCTTTACTGTACTGGCATGAATGTCAGGAAAAAATGCCATTAGGCCGACCTACTGTCTTGAAATATGACAGTAAAGAAGCTGAATAACAGTAAATGTCGCCTAAACAAACCCAGTATAAAAAGTCCAGTAGAGCCAGACCTAAGTGTTTATAACCAATTGAAGATTTACAGTGAATTTTTACATCTCTAAATATATCGGCTTTTAGATCGACTATCGGCAGCTTCAACTCCTGTTTTATCTGTATCATATCGGCTGCAAAAATATCCATATCGGTCGGGCCCTAGTTATAAAACTCCAAAAACTCTCTTGTGGGGCAGGGAGAGAAGAAAGGAGAGAGAGAATGGAAGACGGCGCAGGGTTGGAGGAGACAGCGGAGACACGTGAGCTCTCAGAAGATGTGCTTGAGGTGCTTGATGCCGTACGCTCTGAAAAACACCAGCAGGATGAGGGTCCACAGGCCCAGGATGAAGCCGTCAGGGGGGTGCCAGTCCTTCTGCTTCGGCTTCTGAAAAACACAAAGGAGAGAGAGAATGAAAAATGGATACCTAGAGTTTAAAAAGGAACTAAACGCTCAACTTCTTTTTGCAACTCAACTATAAATTGTGTTGTAATAGCGCTGTCCACTGTTCTGTTTTGCCATTTTAGTGTAGATTAGATATATTTGCAGCTTTGTGGTTAGAAAAGTAATGGGTGTGTGCAGGAAAACTCAAGAAGTAAAACGCAAAATGGGTTAAAAGGCACATTTTCTAGACCCTTTTATTAAAGGTTGTATAGAAGATTTTCCAAGGAAAGAGAAATGCAGCGACTGTTTGTCCTTTTTCAAATGTCGCGCTTCGCTCCTCTTCCCCTTCTCTTCTTCTTTCAGCAACATCAAAAACAAAAACAAAAACAAACTTTCTTTTGCGGCGAACTGGTCGTGAATTCTTGTCTGCCGTTACAACAAACTTTGTGCAAACTGAGAGGAAGCTACAGTTCGAAAAAGACGCTAAGAACCGCTGTGTTGGTCGAGTAAACAGCATCAGTACGTGAGAGGCGACCGTAAACCACGTAATCCCAGCTCGCCGGCAAGTCAGTGACGCAAGTTTGATTGACAACCCAACAGCCAATAGTTAAAGAGGTGTCCTTGTTTTCTATTGGCTGATGTTTATCTGCCCCCACCACGTCCACAGTTGATGGATTTTCATTCTTTTTTGTTTTGGTCATCATAATTACAAGACTGCTGCATCTCTATAATTCTATTTTGAACTTTCATCGACAATTTGAAACAACAACAAAAAAATCCTCCATACAACCTTTAATATGAGAGTTCCTGGTCCTGATTAGGTGTTTAATTCAGGTCAGATTGCGTTAAAATAAAACTCAGATTAAAGCCTAATTTGATTTTAACAGCTTCAGACAAAGTATATCCTCCAGCTAGCATTACGCTGACACTCAAAGATACTTCACAGCGCGTTATTCTTTCACTCCATTCTCATATTACAGTAGAAGCGAGGCTGCTGATCTGCTACGTCGACCACCAACGCTCACAACACACACAACATTCACCCTAAAAACTGCGTGGTGAAGGGTCTTGCCTAAGAACACAACAACAGCTTCCACTAGAGTACACTTTGTAATCCCAGTGGGCTCACATTGAAGTGCTAAACAAGCCCAAACGCTCCTGAGACCTTAAAAGATTGAGACAGCAGGTATACAACAACCTCGTAAAAACCTCAATGCTTAAAGGTTGTATGGAGGATTTTTTTTTTTGTTTCAAATTGTCAGTGAAAGTTTAAAATACCATTACAGAGATGCAGCAGTTTTGTAATTATGATGAGCAAAAAAAAAAAAGAATGAAAATCTATCAACCGTGGACATAATGAGGCCAGATAAACATCAGCCAATACAAAACGAGGCTCCCTCATTTTCTATTGGCTGTTAGGTCGTCAATCAAACTCCCTACGTTTCTAGTGTAACTGACTCGCCGGCGCGCGGGGATTACGTGGTTTATGCGGCGGTTTTTCGAGGCTTTTTTAATCTGTAGCGTCCTCGCAGTTCGCACAAAGTTTGTCGCGACGGCGGACGAGAATCCACGACCAGTTCGCCGCAAAATAAAGTCGGTTTTTGAAGTCGTGAAGAGAAGGGAAAAAGGAGCAAAACAAAACTGAGGTGAGTCTTGGAGATTTCTTACAGCGACGGCGCGACTGAAGCGGACGAAGGATTTTATTTCTAGACAGGTCACTTCAACGGGAATTCCTGAACGCGCACCGGCTGTAAACAAGCGTGATTTCTAGAGTAAAGAGGTGGGAGGAGGAGGTGTTTCTACTGAAGGAGCTGTGGAGGAGGAAGGTGGTGTCACACACGGACAACATTTGAAAAAGGACTGTCGCTGTATTTCTCTTCCCTTAAAAAATCCTCTATACAACCTTTAATACAAATATTCCCTGTGTAGAGTTATAGGACTTTTAAACCTTTATTACACAAAACTAACTCTTCACAAGTTCCTTTGCTTAAATACATGGTTTTATAGTAGCAACAGCTTGTAAATAGGGCTGGTATCATTAAAGAGTTGCCGATACGATACATACCTCGATACAGTGCACTTTTGATTCGATATGATATATTTCAAATCGATTCGATACGGTTCAATAAAAAATAAAGGCTAAATCGTGGCTGTGATACTAAAAGGCTTTGTTAAATTACTTCTTGTGCAAAGTTCATATGAAACACAAACATTTTAATCGTCAAAACAGTAAAAATGTCAAATGTGTCGCATAAACGAGCTTCCTCTCACTCCACAAGCAACAAAACTGTAGCTCTGTAACAAAATAATTTAGTAAAAAACACCTAAAAATACTCTTGGTGAAATATCGATACAGTAGCCCACGATATCGATACTGTATCATCACATTAAACGATACGATATATCGATATTCCGATATTTTTGCACACCCCTACTTATAAACATCAGGAACTACATTTCCCATGATTCATTTCAGCGCAGACAACATGAAGAAATATGTTTTTTACTTGAATTCTTGGGATTATGATGAAAATAATTCACACCAGAATCTTGTCAAGGTATTTTAAAAGTAAAAAGTGTGCTCATCCTACAATTATATCAGCCTCTCCAAAATATCGCAATAAATATCGTACAGTGAGATCGTGATAATATTTGTACCAAGAGATTTGAATATTGTTACATCCCTCATGATTCAGTTTGATATAGCGCTTTTCTGGAAACTCAAAGAAGCTTTACAGAGCTTTATTCATTCACTCCACACTCGGTGGCATTAACGTACTACTCCAGCCAGAGCTGCCCTGGGACAGACTGACGGAAGCAAGTCTGTTAATCTGCACCATCAGCCCCTCCGACCACCACAACCATCACTCACACACACACACCACTTTCAAACTAGCAGTGTTTTTCCCGCAGAAAACTGGATTGCGTGCACGGAGAAAAAGTGAGGAGCGGGGAAGCGTGCAAAGATTTCGTTTGTGCGATGGCCGTAGTTTTGCGAGGATTCATGTGGTTCGGGGAATGTCAAAGCGGCTGCCCTAACTATAAAGCACTGCGGAAAACACTGATACTAAGCAATGTGTGTGAAATGTCTTGCCTAAGGACATAACAACAGTTTTTTTTTTTGTGAATGGTACCTGATTCTTCCAGTGTCTCCCATCCAAGTACTAACCAGACCCGGCCCTGCTGAGGTTCTGAGATCTGACGGGATCAGGCTTTGACAAGTCGGTTTGGCCACAACAAGTTAACAGCTCCTTTTACCTTTAGTTCAGTAGAGATCGGAAGTTCCAGGGCTGAAATTATCCAAATGACGGAGCACTTCCTGTATTACCACATGACAGCACAAAGTGTAACTCAGCCTAAATAAGTAGATTTGTGTGTTAAACATGTGTGAATGAACCAAACACACAACTCCAGGTCTGTTTATACTTTATAAGATCAGAAAACAGCGCACTATTGTCCCTTTAAAAAGCCAAAGCTGGAGTAGCATTAAAGTCATCTCAGCATCTCTTAGCGGTTCTCCACAGAGCGGCGGCGTGTCTTGCCTGAGGGACACATGCTGCGTCTCATCCTCTTTGCCAAGTCGGAGCGTTCCTGGCTGGGATCTCACTCGAGGATAATGGCAGCTTGTACAGTGAGGATAACACAAATCTCTTAAGTGCGTCGTCAATGTCTGTGTGTAGCTTTTGTGGCCGGCGTACGACTTAAGGGGAATCCGCAGAGGTTAAATTCCATCTCGGAGTAGAATACTGCACCAGAATTAGCATCTGAATGTGCTCCTTGTGAGACGCCTGTTCAATACTGTGGGGATTTCAGTAGAATGGTGCGCAAAGTGAAGATGTGGCAGTGAATGGGACAAACTGACAGTGTAGGAAGTAAGTGAATACATGTATCATGAATAAGTATTTAGAATACACTTTTGTGTACCGGTACAGTTACTTTTTCAGTAGTGGTGGACAAAGTTATGCCTTGGACAATGACAAATAAAAATATATTTATTGTGTGTACATTTTGTTTGCAATAATGGGAACATTTTGGTTATTTTTATTTATATTATAAGATTTAAGATTTAAGTTTAACCCTCTCCAGGCAGGCGTTGCAGATTTGCAACAGCTAAATTCCAATTACCTACTTACTCTACATCCATATTATTATGAGCTTTTTTTTACTCAGGAGCCTTTTCTCCCATCCATGCTGATAAACGTGGGCGATGCAGACTGTGCAAGAACGGCTCCACGCAAACGGCCTACCAGAAGTGCAAAATACTTTTTTTGTTCACAAAGGATAAAAAAGTCAGAATTGTATATTACTACCGCATATTATAATTTTCCCCAAATAACAGATTTTTCCTGATACTAAAAATTAATTTGAGCCTGAGAGGGTTAAGATTTAAGATGTAATTATATTATAAGTTTAAGCCATAAAAGGTTGAATTGGCCTGCTCTCCAGGACAAAATCTGGTCTCTGAGAGCTGGGAATTTATTTATTTTTTTCTCCTGCAGCTCCGGTTCCTCTGGCTCTGGGTCCTGCGGTGGATCCTGCTTTCCTGCTATGGTGCGACCCTTCTCCACAGCTGGACACGGCTCCTCCTGTGGCTCCTCTTGTGGCTCCAGTCCTCTGATTCTCCGGGTGTTCTGTCTCCAGGACCTCTGTCTGCAGTTCCTCTGGCTTCCCGAGTCCTCTGTCTCTCAGGTTCTCTGTCTCACAGGTCCTCTGTCTCTCAGGTCCTCTGTCTCTCAGGTCCTCTGTCTCTCAGGTCCTCTGTCTCACAGGTCCTCTGTCTCTCACGTCCTCTGTCTCTCAGGTCCTCTGTCTCTCAGGTCTCTGTCTCTCAGATTCTCTGTCTCTGTCTCACAGGTCCTCTGTCTCTCTCTCAGGTCTCTCTCTCAGGTCTCTGTCTCACAGGTCCTCTGTCTCTCACGTTCTCTGTCTCACAGGTCCTCTGTCTCTCTCTCTCAGGTCCTCTCTGTCTCTCAGGTCCTCTGTCTCTCTCAGGTCTCTGTCTC